CCTTGCACCTGCACCCCCCTCCGGCTTTTACTGCACTGTTGTCTGTGTCCATGGACTGTACATATATGCATATAAGTTCTTTCATTAATCTCTCCTCTGCACGCTTCCCTCTGAGATTTGTCAGCCTGTTCCATGCTTCCATGTCTCTGGAACCAACAAAATGAAAGTACATGAAAAAGTAAAGCTATGCTGTGGCTGAAAAAAACAGATGGGTAGTTGAGACCCAAATTCATTCTGCCTCTCTTCAAATAAAGTTGGCATCCTCAGTTAGTGGGGAATGGATAAATTCTTTAATAAATGATTTAAGAAAATTGGGAATTTAGCCAGGTAAACAAGGTGAATGAGATAGGTAAAGGTTCCTGCTTTTGTTTGAAGTTAGGTAATAACCACTTAATCAGACATTTAGGTAATGTTATATGAAAGTGGTAAATGCTAGAGAGTGACTAAGCTTCGGCAGGGGTAAAGTCCGCATTAGCTGGGAAGGGCTCTCTGAGGAAGTGATATTTAGTCTGTACCCTAAAAAATAGGGGACAACTATGTCAAGGCAGGGGAAAGAACAGATGAGCACATAGACTATATAAGATGCTTGTGTTTGGGGTCCAAAAAGAAGGCTAGTATGGCTGGAGCATGGTAGGTGACTGGGATGTGTAGGATGGGTAGACAGTGGCCACCACCTACTGGAGGGAAGTGTGATAAAGAGTGTGGATTTTACTCCTATTGCAGTGGAAAGTCTGGAAGGTTTTTGTATGAGGAGTGATATGCAGTTAGGTGGTGATGTGTTTAGGGTGAGTGGAGATGGGCATTAGTAATCTAGGTGAGAGATGGTGGACTGAGGTACCAACATTGTAGCGGTGGAGCTGGCATATAATTTGTGGGTAGAGTTGACACGTCTTGATGGATTGAGTATGGAGAGTGAGAGGATGGGAGAAATTGAGGATGATTTCTGTTTTTGGCCTGAGATACTGGATGAATGAGGGTCCCATTTATTGAGGTGAAGACTTATAAAGTATCAGGCCTTGGGAGAAAGAATCAAGAGTTCTGCTTGGACATGTTTTGCCTGAGATGGCATTTAGATATTCCAAGTGGACATGTCATATAGGAATTGGAAATGAAAGTCAGCAGGTCATGGGGAAGGTTAGAGTAGGTGATCTAAACTGGGTAGTCTTTAGAACTAGATGGCATTTAAAGCAGTGGGACTGGATGAGTGCTTAGGGAGAGTAAGGAGGTCGAAAATAGAAAAGTGTAAGAGCAGAGTCTGTAGGCATTCTGACTTTTAGAGGCTGGCCTGAGGAAGAACCAGGAAAGAAGTCTGAGAAAAGTGGCCCATGAGGAAACAGGAACAACTGCCTAAAAAAGAAATTGTAGAGCAGTTTCTAATACAACAATGTAAAATGTACTTTTTTTTTTTTTTTTTAAAAAGAAAATTCAATTTGGAGAACATTAAATTTATGATTTCTATGAGAAGGAAACCACACACACATACAGGCATATGTACATGCATATGTATTCTGAACTCTAAACATGAAGCAATTTTCTGGTAAATACTGTAGATATTAAGTTAAATTGTTGCACCTGCTGGTGAATATGATATTGCAGCCCAGCTCTATTAACCATTTCACACAGAAGAGAGAAAAACAAAGTTTAAGTAGGCATTGCTAATGTAGAACTAGCAATTCATTTGGGAATGATAGAATAGTATAGATGAGATTCTTAAGTACTTGGCTTATCATTGAATAGCCTAGCATCTTAACCCTGTGCTGAGTTTTCAGACCAAATCTATTAGGAACTCTTAGTTTTCCCCCTTTTTTCCCTCTTTGTAGCCAACCAAGCTAAAATATTTTATTTATTCTGTAAAGCAAGGAGTACATTTTTGTGTGTAACAAGCAACCATTACTGGTATGTTATGGATAACATCATGAATTATTTTCTAAATTATCCTTATGATTGATATACAACTTAATAGCAAATGTAACGATTTGATTTTGTTTTTTAATGAAAGAACCCTCCTAAGGAAATTATTTCTCCTGGAGATACTCTGAGGTTATTAGACAAATAAGTGGTAGTTGCAATTATAATTTCACAAATGAGAAGGATTTATTTTATGTATGTGGAATGAGGCACTGTTGTAAAGATATGTACATATACACGATATTCCTGTGGATTAGTTTGAAGTCTCTTTTGTTCCATAAAATTTCTCCCAATCATACTGCTTTATACCATCCACCCACTTACTAAATGCCAAACCTTTGGATAATCTTTTATATTGCTAACCTGGTAGAACACAAAATGATTACAGGAATTATGCAATCAACTTATAAATCCTTTGAAAACAAATATAAAAGCTTACAGGATAAGGACAGGGTGTTTTTACCCCCACTCCCCTATAACCTAACTTATTTTCTAAAAATTATTATTGATTCATAATGTTTAAATATTATAATACTGTAGAACTAGTTCATGCCATTCTTCCTGCTGAGATTTTTCAGTGATATTTTTTAGCTGGTGCTCACAATTTGAATTAGTGGGTAGACACATGAAGCACAGTGGTAAAACATTTTGTGGAACTAAAGTAGTAAGACAGGACTTTCAGTTAGCATTTTGCTCATAAAATAATTATAGTTCAAACTAGGTAATATGTTTAGACTGGCCAATTCCATGGGTTAGGATTTCAAGTCTTAGTGGAGTAGTTTTGATTTTGTTTCCTCCAAACATGGTTGTAGAATGACTGCATTTTTCCACCTATATTTTTATAGCATATATGTTACTTTCCTCTCCTACTCTTGGCTTCCAACACAAATACTGATTACTTCTGGAATGTGACTCTGAAAGAGTTTGCTTAAGGAAGGGAATCACCGTGGATTGCAAACCTTCATGTTTTTTCTGTAAAGACTTACATTTGAGTTTGAGTTTATTTATTTTGAGTTTGAGTTTAGAATATAACTTCCTTTTGCTCTTTCTGACTCAGTTTAAGATGCTACCAGAATTATTTCAAGATGATGAGAAGGCCATCAGTCCAACCTCAGCCACCTCTTCGGGGCGCACACCCCTCACTCGCATTCCTGCAAAGCCCACCAAGGGTCGACCAGGCCAGACGGCTAAAGAGCACAAGAAAACAGTGGGGCACCAGGTGAGTTCAGGAAGCCACTGCTGTGGTATCCTTTCCTCTTTGACTCAGCTGAAGCCTCAGGTGTTCCTTCCTCATCCTCCCAGGTGGGATCCTCAGGTGAGGAGAGGCTAGAGCTTGCGCTGTGGGAACTTGTAACACCATCCGCTCCTACTCCTCTCCGCCTAGCTTTAGATCCGTGACTCTGATTAAGCCTTTCCCAAAGTAATGTTCTCTACATCTTAATTCTTCTTCCTTAGAGACCACTGTTGCCTTTGTTTTGTTCTCTGGTTGTTTCCTCTCTGGATTTGTGCAGAGCATCAGCTCCTTCAGCTGGAACAGTGCCCCCTCCTTTTTTGATGTCTTATGCTCGGTGGGGAGTGGGAAATGTTACGTACGTGCTCAGTGCCTGAACAATGTCCCAGGCTCTGGACAGGAGGCTGAGCACTAGACAGCTTGTTTTCCTGTGCGTGGGACCCTGTACCCAGGGCAGACAGGAAGCAGGGCCTGACACAGGCCCACTGCCTCCAGTCCCGATCCCATGTCCCTAATGGTAACCCCACCCTGCCTGCCCTCTCCCATTCTCCCACTCATTTCCTATACTCTTTTAAGTCATCTGCTACACTGTTCAGTATCTTAGAGCAAAACTCCCACTGTATGTGATTAAATGGCCTTAATATTCTTAAAGCAAGGTTATATTTTTAGTCAGAATTCTGAATTCACAACAGAAAACAGGAAAAACTTGTATTGAAAGGGGAGTGGGCCCTGGCCAGTGTTGCCCAGCAGTTAGAGTGTTGGCCCGAGCACCAAAAGGTCTCAGGTTCAATTTCTGGTCAAGAACACATACCTGGGTTATAGGTTCAGTCCCGGCCCCGGTCAGGGTGTGTGTGGGAGGCAACCAATTGATATGTCTCTCTCACATCGATGTTTCTGTCTCCCCCTCCCTCCCTCCTTTCCACTCTCTCTGAAAAACAATGGAAAAAGTATCCTCTGGTGAAGATTAACAAAAATAAGAGTGGGGGAGTGGGAAGACTAAACTCTAATGTAAATGATGGACTTTGGGAGATTATGATGTGTCAGTTTAAGTTCATCAACTGTAACAGATGCACAACTCTGGAGGGGGATGTTAATGGGGGAGGCTGTGCATGTGTGGGGACAAGAGATGCATGGGGCAAGGGGTGGGAGAGAGCGAATGTATATTTAGCAGAGTAAGCAAGTAAATGATAGAATTTAAGCAAATTTTAACCTAAAGCTCTAGCATTCTTGTTCAATAGCAGTTCCCCTTCTGAGATTGGGTCAGTCTCCACTACTGTCATTAGAAGAAAATTTTAACTTGTTTTATGTCATCTTTGACTTTAACAAAACCTTGATGCCCCTTTTGCTCTTTCCCATGCAGTTCCGAAATTCCCTTCACCTGCTTATGGAGACCCTCAATGCCACTACCCCTCACTATGTGCGTTGTATTAAGCCTAATGATTTCAAGTTCCCATTCACGTAAGTATTTCTCAACTACTGAATTTAAAAGTATCTGCATCTCAAGGATTACCAAACCAACAGAAAGAAAAAAATATTTGAGTAATTCTTCATGTCTCGTAGAGGAAAAAAAAAGCTAAAAAAATTTTTAAAAATTAATGTATGTACATTGTAAAAACAGTTTTCAGAAAATATAAAATAGTATAAAAATAAATGAAAAAGTATTCATTGTAGTCAGAGAGATAACTGGTATTAAGTGGCCAACATTTCTCCCTTTCCTTCTGTGTGTGTGTGTGAGAGAGAGAACAAGAGAGACACACTAATGAAAGGGAGGGGCTCATGCTATAATTGCTGTTTTGTATCTGCTTTTATCTTAATAAATTGTGGATACTTCCTAGTTAGTAAATAAAAATCCACATCATCATTCTAATGGCTACATAATGTCTCATTGTATAGACATACCATCATTTATTTAAATGATTTCCTATTGCTTGCCATTTACGTTATTCCAGCAATGCTCTAATAAACATATTTTGCCAAACATTTTTGAATTTTTGCCTGATTACCTCTTTAGGATAATGTATTTCTAGAAGTGGAATTTGTGGGTCAGAGGTTAGACACATCTACCAAGGTTATAGTAACTCCAGCTGCCCCTCTGCAGTGTGAGAGTGCTCTTCTCCCTACACCCCTGCCAGCCTGCCCTCCACCTGTTTTGCGGTAGACTAGAGGGCAGCTCTGAAAAACCCTTACGTCGTCTCAGTTGCCAGGAAACCCTTTGCGGAGGAAGTGGGAAGCAGGAGAAGCTGCCCGCCCCGGGCTACTCTCCAGGAAGCCCAGCTCACCCCATCTCCCACCACCACCAGAACACTTGAGAAAATAGCACAGCAGAGGGTTGGAGAGGTCGCTCAGAGCTTAACTGGGGGAGTAAGGAGTGATCATTCAGTGAGCGACAGGCCTTACCACTTCCTCTTAGGGGCAATTTAATATTAAGGTGCCAGTTGTCTAGAGTAAAATAAACATTAGATTAATACAAAACATAAATATTTTCCATTGATGTGGACACTATAAATGCTTAGTATGTACACACCAATAGCTTTTAGAACACCAATAATTTTTGAAAAGAATAACTGAATGGGGCATATTTAATTTGTCCTACTTGTTAGAGAAATCTCCAGAGCTGGCCAGTCTTTGTTCCAGGAGAAATTTGTATGGTGAGCTAAAGAGTTATGAGCACAGCGAGTCAAGCCAAGCCATGTAATAGTATGGGCAAAGTACAGAGGAGTTTTTTGTTTGTTTTAAATATTCTCAGGATGAGTTGTGGTATGAACGACAGGTTAATGTTTTTGGGGGGTTTTTAAGTCCTCACCCAAGGATATTTTTTCCATTGCTTTTCAGAGAGATTGGAAGGGGGGAGAGAGAGAGGGAGAAACATAGATGTGAGAGAGACACATTGATTGGTTGCCTCCCTCATGCACCCCGACCCCGCGTTGGGGATCAAGCCTGCAGCCAAAATACGTGCCCTTGGCCAGAATCGAACCCGGGACCCTTCAGTCCACAGACCAATGCTCTAACCACTGAGCCAAACCTGCTAGGGCAACAGATAATGTTTATGGCTCTTTAGTTTTACTGCTTATTGTCTCCTCCCCACTCTCACATGGAGTTTTCCATTTGATCACTGCTACAACTTTTGAATGCTTTCTTTTCTGATGTATCTATTTGGCTCTTTACAGAAGAATCTCTGGACTGAGGAGAGTAATTTGTGGCTCTAGCCAGGCTTCTTGTGCATTAATGATGTTCATTTGTACACATAGATTTGATGAGAAGAGGGCAGTGCAGCAACTGAGAGCGTGTGGTGTCCTGGAAACCATCCGAATCAGTGCAGCAGGTTTCCCCTCACGGTGAGCCTGGCATTTTTCAAATATAAGGGATCCTATGGAGATAACTTCCTATTTCTTTAAATAAGCTAAAGTGGGTTTCTTTTTGTAGGTGGACTTACCAAGAATTTTTCAGCCGCTACCGTGTCCTAATGAAGCAAAAAGATGTGCTGAGTGACAGAAAGCAAACATGCAAGAACGTATTAGAGAAACTGGTCCCGGTAAGAAAAATTTTCACTTATCTTTATCTGAACAGATTATGGCCAAAGGCCTTGTGATTATAATCTGTGAAAGCCCTGGGAACATATAAATACCACTGCTCCAGACTTTTCCAGGCAGGGAGCGGGGAGGGCACACTGTCTTGGAGACCAAGGCTCACTGTGTTTAGGGTGCTCGGACTGACTGGTGAGGATGGTGGTCCACCATCAGGAAACAGGATGATGAGGCCTGGACCCAGACTTAAAAACTTACCTAGTACTTAACTTATGGAAGATGCCAGGCCAGATGCTGTGTGATTAAGAAAAAACAAGTCTTGTCCTCGGGTAACATAACCTATATTGGAAATTAATGCATTTTAAAGATAAGTATAGTATACTATAACGTCTATCAAATGCTGAGTGAAAGAAACAGGAAATCAGCGCAAGGCAAAGCCACATCTGCTACAGGAAGGAGGAGCAATTTAATGGAAGACGTGTGTGGAGTCAGACCCTGAAGAATGGGTAAGATTGTATAAAAGTGGATGGAGAATATTTTAACAGGGAGCATGGTGTGAAGAAGTGGGAAAGCATACAGTTTGCTCAGAAAACAGTAATGTAGTTTCTTTGCAGTGTACAATCTGTGTGTGAACAGTAGGGAAGTGCTTAGGAAATGTAGGTTGGTGTTTGGAGAGTCTTGCATTCCACACTGAGGAGTACTCGAACTTTAGAACCTGGGGGGTTGTTAAAACACAGCTTGCTGCCCCCTCCCCCTGAATTTCTGACTCAGTAGGTCTAGGATGGGTCCAACAACTTGTATTTATAAGAAGTTACCAGGTGACGCTGATGCTGGTCTGAGGACTATACTTTGAAAACCACTAATCTAGGTCACAGAGAATTTCAGATTCATGAAAGGTTTAAAAAAGTATTTTCACTTGTTTGATGCTAGTTTGGATGGATTACCTCACTCTGAGGTAGTCATAATTAACTAAATGTGATATCTCTTCTTTGTAATAACTTTGTTTTTTTAAAGAGCTAAGACCACTTTCTTAATAATGTGTAAAAGAATCGGGAGCCTTTCGAGTTTGGCCCACCACCTTTCTAACCTGGGTTCAGATGGGAATGCACAGCAGAAAGTAGGGACAGTCCTACGCCTGGCCTCCCCCAGCCCGTTCCAGGCCTGATTCAGAACTTTTCAGGGCAAAGGCCAAATCGAGGAGTGCAGAGTTGGTGTGGAGGAGGCTGAGATGGGACAGGGAGAAGGAGAGGTAACCACTGTTTAGCTCCTTTTGTATCTCCAGCTAGGTTTCCTATGTAGCTTTTCTTGATTAAAATTGAAATAATTTTAGGTGTTTTAGGTATATGTGGAGATTTCTGATTTTCTGGTTTCATGTACAAGATAGGAGATATCTGCTTACAGTAAAAAGTAATTTTCTGTTTTCATACAATGTTAGATTATAATAGTGACTATTATAAATTCCACTCTTCTTTCTGTATGAGAATAGTTAATAACTTGTGTGCTTCCAGATAAGGTGGGTCAGAATATAATGGACCAGAAATTGCATGCATGTCTGTGTTAACTGCTCAACTCTGCTTATTATCAAAAGTAAATGAGCAATATAAATGATTACATTTTTGTAAAAGGAATTTTGAAATTTGTACAAATAATTTAAACATATTTCTAGGGTTTTGTTTATTTTCAGACACTGTCGACAGAACAGAGATATAACAAGAAACTTAACTCTTTTAATATGAATGTGCAGGGTTTTCTGCTTTTACATTTTTATTTTGTGTGCATGCCTTCCTGCCTTATTCTTTATACTGGTGTTTTTGTCCCTTCAGCTTTCTCTTGGAGCATACAGCCCGATGTAATCCTTACAGCCTGGGTCAGTCAGAGCGAGTGTCAGCATCTCCATTTCCTTGAGATATTTAAAATACAAACAAGCAAATAATAGCTGCCTATAACCCACAACCAAGTTTTTGGCCTCAGATAATGATTCCAGGTAGAATAATTCTGGAAAATAACTCTTAAACTTCAATTTTCCTTAAAATCCCTTCTATTTGCTCAACTTGCATTGGATCAAAAATCTGGCTCCTTTAGTTAATCATGACGTAGCCCAAGTTTTAGCCAATAGATTCATCCCTTTACTGATTCTGCTTTTAGATGTATTTTTTCTCTTCTACAATTTTATTTATATGGTCACTATTTCTACTTCTCAATATACAATTTCTTCCAAAAACAGGACAAGGACAAATACCAGTTTGGTAAGACCAAGATCTTTTTCCGTGCTGGTCAAGTGGCCTATCTAGAGAAATTGAGGGCAGACAAGCTGAGGGCTGCCTGCATTCGGATCCAGAAGACAATCCGAGGGTGGCTGCTGCGGAAGAAGTACCTGCGCATGCGGAAGGCAGCCATCACTGTGCAGAGACACGTGCGAGGCTACCAGGCCCGATGGTAGGTCACCCGGCGACCTGGCTCCTAAGATTGCAGAGCTCATCTGATTCATTGCGCAAACCAGAACAGTTCTGAGTGGTCACCCTGTGTGAGAAGGCAACACCTCACCTCTTCTTAGATTCAAGGAATAACAAATTAACTCATAAGACAGTTAAATTGAATAAAATTTCACTCACCCTTATGAATTATTCAGAGTTGTCCTCAAAATAATTGTAAATTACTGCGTGCTCATGTCCTCAGTATCTTATTTTTTATACTTTCATATGGGCCTGAAGAAATTATCTGTAAATTAAAACAGCCATGAATATGAGCTAGTTAATAATGGCTCCATTGAGAAGTTTTCAGGAGCAATAAACTGTGAAGGTCTTTCCAGAATTTTACTTAAGTGTGATAGCATATTAGGATAATTTTAATTTAGAAATATCAGTAGAAATGAATTAATGATAAAGAATTTATGCCCAAACAGAAAGAGTTTGGAAAATATTAAACATCAGCAATGGGTAGATCTAAGAAAACTGGTGATGAGCAAGTATGGGATTCTGTGTATAGCTGTTCTGCAATGTAGGGGGACATAGCCTGGGGTAAGGAATACTGTCCTAGAAAGAGTGAACCTTTATGAGCTCCCCTTTCTTTATTGTAAAATCAGGTAATATGGGACATCCTCATCTGCAGGGTAGGGAAGGCTCAAATAAGACAATGAATGTGGAAATATTTGGGGGAACTGTAAATGGCTATATAAATATAAGAAATATGAATGTTGATTTAATATTGTATATTATTAGAATACTACAATGGAGGTACTACTTATGCTGAAGATACTGGTTCTTTGTCTCTACAAAATACATCCCTGCATTTTTCCTGTTACTAACAACTGCACTGCTTCTTTCTTTGGCCAGCTATGCTAAGTTCCTGCGCAGAACCAAGGCTGCAACCATTATTCAGAAGTACTGGCGCATGTATGTAGCCCACAGGAAGTACAAAATTAAACGAGCTGCCACTATCGTTCTTCAGTCTTATTTGCGAGGCTACTTGGCCAGAAATAGGTATCGCAAGGTGAGTCATTATTTTCAACTTTGTTTATTCATTCCATTAATGCTAATCAGATTTCACGTCCGTACAAAGTAACCACAGGGGCTCCTATGGACATAAAAGCCATATGGAGACAAACAACAACTGAAATATATTTTAAAATCTTAAGTAAGTGCATATATTTAATTAACAAGACAATGGAAAAAACTTTACCTACTTTTTTCCCCTTGTCTATGTAATGTGAAGAAAAGTTACTGAATTAGTTTCCTGTGGTTGCTATAATAAATTACCACCAACTTGGTGGCTTAGAACAATAGAAAGATATTCTCTCACAGTTCTGGAGGTCAGAAATCCAAAATCAGTATCACTGGGCCAAAATCAAGGTGTTGGCAGGTTGTACCCCCTCCAGAAGCTCTAGGGGAGAATCCATCCCTTGCCTCTTTCAGCTTCTGATGGCTACCAGTGTTTCTTGTGTTTGTGGCCACATCACTCCAGTTTCTGCCTTCATCTTCACATCATCATCTCCTCTGTGTTTCTAACTTGGCTTCTTTTGTCTGTCTCTTACGAAAATATTTGTGATGGATTTAGGACCCACCAGGATAATCCAGTGTAATCCCCTCATCTCAAAATTTTTAACTTAATCACATTTGCAAAGACCCTTTTCCCAAAGAAGGTAACATTTACAGACTCCAGAGGTTAGGATTTGATATCTTTGGGGGCTTTTATTTAACTCACTATGGTGAGCTTTGAATAGGTAGAATATGTGACATATGGGTGGGAGACTGTTTAAAGAATGAAATAACCTTGGAATAATTTACTGTGGTGAAAAGGAGATAACACTAATGTGGTTAAACTTGTATTGACTGGAATATGATGCTCTGAACGTTTTTGACAAGTAATCTTTGTATCTGGCAATAATCAACATGACTATAGATATTGGATCACCAGATTAATGTTAATCGTCACCTCTGACAATATATGATCTAGTTGAAAGGTTTTTCTCTTTTCATTTTGGCAAGGTTTTGAGTCTGTCCTTCATGATATATTCCTAACCAGCCAGAAGTACCGTCTGGATCTTAGAGCTCTGTGGGTGCCCCTGTTAGAAGGAGCATCCGTAGAGTGATTTGAGGGACATGTCTCTAATTGCAGGCAGTCTGTGAGGGTGACCTAGGCCCTATTCATGTATGTATTTTACTTTCTTATTTTGAAGTAATTTTAGACAACAAAGAAAAATGAAAAACTAATGAGGCTTGAATGAGTATATTTAATAGCTGTGTTTTGAAGAAAATTTGAAGATAGCTACTTCAGGTCTTTCTGCCCATGCTGGCTTTATGGTCTGGTGTTCTTTCTCTACAGGCATAAGTTTTCAGGGGAAGGAAAAGCCTTATTAAACGTGACCTTTTAGATACACCAAACTGCTTACACTTCCGTTTTCTTCACTGCTCTCAGGAACATCTGAACGGGGTTTTGAGGCTATTGGTTGGAGCAGTAGCTCAGCTCCAACTGTGATGGCACACTGGGGGTGGTAGATTAGAGGCTAGCTCATGTATAGGCCGGTAGCACCCCATTAGTGCTCCTTCTGGCTATGTTTCCTGTTTTTCCAGTCCAGGCTTCCCCTTCATGGGGCTTGGGAGTCTAAGGGAGAGTAGGCATTGTTTAATTTCTCTAATTCACTAATGGAAATGAGATTGAGAGTGGAAGATCTAATTATATACTGTTTCCATTTGACTGAAATTACAGAAATGAACCAATGTCTGAAGTTATATGGAGAGGAAGAAATGGAATAGGAAAATTGACATTAATAGCTTTGCCCCATTTGCTGCTTGAGTCTGAAAGTCTGAAAGCCTTCAGTTTGCCATTACTGAGTCTTATCCAGTTGGTCACTAGTCATCTGGATAAGACAAGGGGCTCCCTCAGAATCGTGATGTTCAGGGAGAGCTCAGGATGGACCTCACTGCAGCGTGATGCACAGTGACTGCACTTAGTGGGAAGCAAAGACTGCCTGAGTATTAGGTAAACAGCCAAAGGGGGCAGCCTTGACTTGGTAAAGGTGCTATTAAGATCTCCTGAACACCTGTGTTTATTTTGTACTTGATGGTTTAATACCTAACAACTTATTTCTTAAGTGTATCCTCTGGAATGGCACATTTTTCCCATTGTTTTCCTCAGGTCCTTAACCTAAAAATAGGAACTATTCTTTTAATGATTTTATTGAACTGCTATCTATTTGAATAGATGGTTTCAGAAATTTTTACATTTAAAAAGTTTCATAAGAGATACATTGTGTCCATTTATAATAATCTCTAAGTACTTAAGTGCATATATTTAAATATTTTTATCATACAAGAGTTGTTTTATAAAATCATAGACTTAGAAGGACCTTAGAAAGCTTTGATAGTTCAACCTTTATTAATTTCAAGAATTACTTCTCCATCATTCCTGGAAATTATTTAGACAATCTCTGCTTGATGGCCTTAGTGATAAGAAATTCATCTTATAAGGCAATCTTTTTGTTATAAGTTGTTTATACGTTTAGGGGAATATCTTCTTATTTAGAAAGTATAACAAAATCAAAATTAAGATTTGTTTACTTCCCTTTATCTTTTATCTTTTCTTTTAAAGCTTTATGTTTACTACCTTTGACTCCCATAAGTGGATTCCTATTACATTTGAAACAGCAATGGGAAATCCTCACTAGAATGGTATTCCTCAAATAGGGCAACCAACAGTGTCATTTTTTTGTTTCTGGAAAAAATAAATTAGTAACAAACTTTGCAGTACTCCAACTGCTGGCCTCTACAGCCAGCTTAGTGGCCATACCCCATGTCCTCAAGCATAGACCTAATGCACAGTGAGATGTATCAGCAGTAAGGGTGGTGGCTAAGTCTTTTATTTTAATAGCATGTAATTCACAAGGTGCCAAGTTCTGTTCATTTTATATAGGATCGCCTGTTGCTGACAGATATCATACACCAATAGGAAACCTATTGGGTTTTTTCCTTTCTTTTTAGAATTGTTTGTCTTTTAGTAATCTGGTGTCTTTTATGTAGACAGCGCTTCTGTGTGTATACTCTGTGTTTCTCAAATCACCCTTTAAAGTCTACTTTTAAAATCACATTTAAAACAATACTGCGCTTCTGTATATTTGTGATATGTACAATCCATATAATACATTGTTACTTCAACTTTTGTGCCTTTCCCTTTAGGTAATGCATGACTTCTCAGCCTGACAGCCATAGGTGGATAGAGTTGTACCTTGAGTCTAGCCCAGGATCTGACGTTACTCGTACTTACCCTTCTCTGCAGATATTCCGTGAGCACAAAGCAGTCATCATTCAGAAGTGGGTCCGGGGCTGGCTGGCTCGCACCTGCTACAAGAGGAGCATGCATGCCATCATCTACCTTCAGTGCTGCTTCCGGCGGATGATGGCCAAGCGCGAGCTGAAGAAGCTCAAGATCGAGGCCCGCTCCGTGGAGCGCTATAAGAAACTCCACATCGGCATGGAGAACAAGATCATGCAGCTGCAGCGCAAAGTTGACGAGCAGGTGTGTTTCCAACAGGAGCTCCGCAAGGGAGCATGCCTGAAGAAGTCCACTGGGAGTGTGGGCAGCGTTGTCTCCCCTTGACTTTTACCTTTCAGTCTTAGCAGAAAAGTAAAATAATAATGACAGTAGTAAGTGTGGACATAGTGACGAGCTCATAGGTAAGATTATCATCGCAAGGACTAAGGCAGGAAATTATTTTTGAGAACACAGCCAGATTTACTAGTGCTCCTACCTTTATGACCAAGAGAGAATCGTGTACTTTATACTTGACAGAGTTCTTCATCATTACCATTCGTTTGCATGTAGTATAATGTTCCTTTCGCAGGTGAGTTTACAATGAGATGGCAAAAGAATCAGGAAGACGGCCATGCTTCTGAGGAATCTACAGCCTGTTTGCAGAGATAAAAGTTTGATTTCTTATAGATAGTTACTAAGTGCTATTTTAGCACATGCAAATGATATAAAGGTAATTAGTACTACATAAATACTCTGGAGGGCAAAAAACTACACAATGAAATGGGGTTCATCAGAAAGGTTTTCTGAGTGTGAGGAGAGTTTTGAGGTAGTAAACAGACTTGTAAGAAATTTGTGATTTTGAGGCCATTTTATTGTTCGTATGCATCACCTGGCTAGCACATGACTTAGTAGCACAGTGATTTGTTTTCAAAAGCAAGTGTACATTTTCTTATTTCTGGATTAAGAATCAGGAAATTAAGGATTTGCTCTCATAACTCGCCTTGCAGCTATGAGAAAAATCACATCTGTGTTGCTCATCACGTAAAACAGAAATAATGCTGTCTGGTCTCTTCTCTCTTTATATCACAGAGAGAGTAGTGATTCTGTTACTACAAGTGTTGCGGTTAGAATTTTGGTTAGATACTATAACATCATGATGAGATAGCATGACTATAATGAACCAGCCTGGTTTTCTCACTGAATACATTTGATGGTATGTATATTTGCTTATTGTTTGTATGTGTTTAAAGAACAAAGACTACAAGTGCCTCATGGAGAAATTGACCAGTCTGGAAGGAATTTACAACTCTGAGACTGAGAAACTACGAAGTGACTTAGAACGTCTTCAGCTAAGTGAGGAGGAGGCTAAGGTTGCCACTGGACGGGTCCTCAGTCTACAGGAAGAAGTTGCCAAGCTCCGGAAAGACCTGGAACAAACTCGATCAGAGAAAAAATCCATTGAGGAACGTGCAGATAGATACAAACAAGAAACTGAGCAGGTAGGAAGGAACTAATGTTCACAAAGGAAATGCGCTGTCATCTTGACCTGGCCCTGTGGCTCAATGTTGGTTTCAATCAAAGCTGAAATACATATTTTATTGTTAGTGTTTCCCAAGCATTCCTTCCACATGATAAGTCAGTAGCTGTAGGACTTTTGGTAGAGCCTTATGACTTTAATGAGAACAGAGGAAAAGCAGTATTGTAAGAAGAGAATTAATGGCCATGCCCCTACTGTATATACACTCTCTTTCTTTAATTGCATCAGTCTGGATGGAGTGTAGATTCCTTTTTCTTGGGTTAACGTGAGTAAGAAGCAAATCAAACAATGAACTCTCAATTGCTGATACTAGGGAGTTTTAGGGAAACGAATTAAGACTATGTTAAGAAGTCCAAGACAGAAATCAAAATGTCTGCACACTGATTGTAGCCCAGAACTCCCATGCAGATATAACCAAAAAGGGAAAAAATCCTTACAGATTGATCATCAGTGTTTCTACACTACAAATTTGTATTAACTTATGTCAGAACTTTACTAAATACAGAAAACATTAAGGTTCTCAAGCAGGAATGAGAAGCATTGTTTAAACAAAATAAAAGTACCTCAACATAAGGCTTACTGGGGAAAAAAAGTAACTTTCAGAGATTCCACTGGTGTGACCATTTTTAAGTGAAAACAGAATTGACTATGTTGGTTGTAACTATGAGCAAGAATACCAATATCCCAATATGCTGTTTCTGTGCTGACTTCTGTACGTTAACCGCAGTGTATAGAGTAAAAAGCTCAGAAGGAGCTTAGATGTACTTCAGGTAAGAGAGTGTACTAATAAAATTGCAATCCTGTGGTATTCAGGTTCCCAATAAAGTAATCTCCTATATCTCTAGCAGATCTGGCCTCTGTATTATGGAAACAGCAGTGCCATTAATATAGGTTATGTGGCATGGCAAGTTTGTTCGGTCAGAATTCAGATATACATTCAAAGAAATACTCCTGAGGTTTAAGATCTTCTTCTATCTTTTTTTTTCTTTTTGTCATTTTTTGAGTCCACAGAAGCTTTCCAGATTTCTCTGAACCTAGAGTATTTAAGCTTGGTCAGAAAATTCTCTTTCTCACTTCAAAGTCAAGTGCATACTTTTCTGGTCTGATAGAATAGTACACACGAGCAGATACAGATTTCTCCTTTTTTATTATCTTCTGTTTTTCACAGGCTAGCTATAGGCACTATAATTCTTTTAGATGGAGTATAGTAATGGGAAGAATGAAAACATTTCACTGTGACAGCCACTTTATGATCAGGAAAGCTGCATTTCCGATCAGCCTGATCAAGGAGCCTAGAAGGTACACAGAACTATGGTTCTTAGCCAGAAGTGTGTATCAGAATCTGCTGGAGAGTTCTGCTGTTGTTGTTTTTGTTTTAAATATGTCTTTATTGATTTCAGAGAGAGGAAGGGAGAGGGAGAGAGAGATAGAAACATCAATGATGAGAGTCATTGATCGGCTGCTTCCTGCATGCCCCCCACTGGGGATCGATCCTGCAACCTGGGCATGTGCCCTGACTGGGAATCCAACCTCAATCTCCTGGATCATAGGTCGATGCTTAACCGCCGAGCCACACTAGCCGTACTGTGGAGAGGCATTTTTCTTTAAAGATACCTGCCAAGCTCTGAGAGTGTGAGGTAGGCACGTGTATTTTATAAAAGCACACCCCTGACAAAGAGCAGCTTCTCTCAAGAGCCTAGGGAACTCCGGTCTTTCTGCTGAGGGCGGAGGGTAAAGCCATGTCAGCATGGAAGGAAGAGGCTGGACCCTCAGGAGGAACACCTGGGCTTACTGCTGTGGCAGTGTTGTCATCTACTTCCCCTTTCTCCAGGGGTACTCAGTCACAGCCCTGGCTCTCTATCTCTGAACTCCTAACAGTTCTCTTTATTATTAGCTATCACTTTAGAGTTCCTTGAACTTAGCTTAGAGAAGAAATTCAGGTTTCACTCATCACAAGTACACATTTTATTGCAGAGATGAACTGAGTAAATTATGGACTTTGCAAAGTTATTTTTGGTTTTGATTTTTGCTTCCTGGGAATCCTTATCCAGCTAGAAAGTTAAGTTAATGCTTTAAAAAAAATTTTTTTTTAATTAAAATGTACATAACAGAAAATTTACCACATTAACTGTTTTTGGGTGTACAGTTCAGTGGCATTAAGTACATTCACTGTTGTAAGGTCAATGCTTAAACGTGGAATAAAATGACTAGTTTATAGTGTTGCAAAACTCTTAAAAGGGGATGAAAGGAAAAATTCTCTTTTTTAAGACAGCAGGGACCTTCAGAAAATCTTCAGTGAATTTCCAGAACCAAAATGCTCTTCATATCTTTCTTAACCTCCTCAATCTCTCTTCTTCAATCATGGGTACACATAGCTTTGTACTAGGCTGTTGAGGTGAAAAAGCATTATCATTGTTTTAAGAGCAAATGCTTATGAGATGCCAGGCAATCGCTAAATGCTCAAGGTATAAAGTGAAACAACAGCAGCAGTCATGTTTGTCCCCCAGGAATTTCTAGTCTGTTAGGGAAATAAAAGTAAATCATTTATAAGGGTTATAAAGAGGCATATACAGGGTCCTGTAGTAGCCCAGAGATGAAACATCTATTTGGAGGTAGTTTCCAAGAAGGTTTTCTGGAGGAGGTAATGCTTGAACCAAATTTGAAAGATGACTAGACATAACTAGGCAAAGAAATGAGGCCTCAGAGGATGTGGAAGTAAGGAGTGACGTCTGTGAGGTCTTTATACTTAGCATCTGGTTTGCTCTGTCTGTTGAAGCCACCTCAATTTGTTTCATTTTATAGGTGGTATCAACTCTGAAGGAAGAAAATACTTTGCTGAAGCAGGAAAAAGAGGCCCTCAATCACCTTATCGTGGAACAGGCTAAGGAGATTACAGGTAAGGCTCACATTGGCAAACTAATGCATGCCAGCCAACCTCCCAAAGTTTTACAGGGTACAACTTCTTTTTTTAAATCCTCACCCGAGGACATGTTCAGAGAGAGGAAGTGAGAGAGAGAAAAAATGAGAATGAGAGAGAGAAACATCAATAGGTTGCCTTCCATATGTGTCTAGACCAGGGATCAAACCTGCAAGCCAAGTATGTGTCCTGACCGGGAATTGAACGGTAACCTTTTGGTGCAGAGAATGATGCTCCAACCAACTGAACCACTCCAGCCAGGCTATAAGATACAACTTTGCTTAAAGTTTAAATATTTTTCAAAGTTGAGGTTCTCATCTGTAAATTTATAATATTTTGGTTGAATCAGTTGGTGAACTTACAAATCTGGTCTTTCTATGTACAAATGTGAACTCACGTTCAGTCAATATCATGTTAGCAATATTGATTGTTCTTCATGTATAGTTTATCAGTTATGGCTTAAAGAAATCCTATTGATTTAGGAAGAATTCTTGAGCTAATATGTATGTGTGTGTATGTGTCTGTGTGTATTATTTTTATTTATTTACTTTTTGCTAAGCTAATGGATATGATTCTCCCAAGAGCAATCACTGTTTGTCACCAAACAAGCAAACTAACAAACAAAAAAGCCCACTGATTTTTTGAATAGAGGACTAACTAGATGTAAATATTTATTTTATTTGTTCTTTGTGAGAATGATAATAATTTATAAGAAATCCATATATTCATAAACATAGGATAAGAAGATACAGATCTAAACTGTAGTCGTTGGTGGTGGAAATGGAAAGGAAGAGACAGATTGGAATGAGGATATACAATATGAAAAGAATCAACAATGTTATTTTTGATAATGTATTCAAAGAAGGAATAAAAACATTCTAAAGTTTTGATATGAGATTTCAAAACAATAGTGGTGTATTATTAGTAATGAGGAAATTGAATAAGAAAAGTATCTGTTTATGAGGAAAATTAATGAGATCAGTTGTTATTGAGTGTTAAATTTTGGTTGTCAGCTAGGGCCTCCAGATAGATGATCTGAAGCCAAATTGAGATGACAGATTAAAAAAAAAAAAGAAATGAGCCTTAAGGTTCCCCAAAGCTATGATGATGAGAACCCTCTTCCCCCTTCCCCACACTGCCCCCTTCCTCCCAAGGGAATAACATAAAGGAAAGAGAGGAAAATCTGGAATTAAGCCTTATAGGATGATCATATGTAAGGGGTAAGGTGAAAAAAATAAAAAATACCAGAAAAAAAATTAAGAAGTGAAGGAGAAACCAAAACAGTCCCTGAAGACATGGAAATAAGGTTTCTAGGATGCAGAACGTGATGAAAGGATCCAGAATGATGAGGATACTTCTAGGAAAATATAAAATGTACTTGAAACTGAATGATAACAAAGAAATGACAGTAGATTTGCCTAGGGAAAATTTTTTGGTAGCTTTGGGCAGCTTCTGCAAACCGGTGGGAATAAAAGGCAATTTATAGAATGTTACAGAGAGAAAACATTCATTCATTCATTTACGAAGTATTAAAACCTTATATAGGGAAACACTGTGATGGGCACCAGGGAAACAGTTGAGACAAGACTCTTGCAGCCCTTGCCCTCATGGAGCTGACAGAGAAAGAAATGGTGAAGCAGTAGAAGTAGGCGGGGCAGATTCAGATTCAGCCACAAACTGTAAGGGTAAAGTGGGCCAGGGTGGGAGGAAGCTTAATGTGACTGGCTGGCTCATTGAGTTAAAACATTCAGCCGGGATTTGAGGCTTTTTTTTTTGTTTTATATGCAGTCAAGGGTTAATCTCCAATCTCCAGATTCTGTTCTAGCCAAATGCAAGCCCCTGGCAACTGGAGTGCGTAAATGGAGAGGTGAGGGTTCCCCAGCAGCACACAGGAGAAGTGACACAGATGGCAGCCTTGGGAAGCTTACCTGGTTAGAAATGGGGACATAATAGGACAGCGGGGGAGTTCAGAGTGCTGGAGAGTTGTTAAAGAGACCCTGGAGACTGAGAGGAGCGGAGAGATGGAAGAGTAGGATAGCTAGGTCCACTGAGAAGCCACCATTCCCTCAGAGACTTGAGGAGCATCTGACTTCTTGAAAGAGTACACTAATTTGGACAAAGCAATTTATGAATATCCTGAAACAGACTACTATTAGAATAAAAATGTATATACTTTTGTTACTAGACAATGACTAGTGGAAGGTTATCAAGGATGTGCTATAACCAGCGAGTGAACTAGTGCCACTAAGCCTGTAGTACAAGGAAGAACTCAAGTAGATGATTGTTACTATTATCAATAAATTATCTAGTTTTGGTTTCTCTTATTAATTTGAGAGAGAGAGAGAGGAAGGGGGGAGAGAAACATTGACTTGTTGTTCCCCTTTTTGATCTTTTCATTGGTTGATTCTTGTGTGTGCTCCGACTAGGATCACACTCGTAACCTTGACTTATCAGGACAATGCTCTAACCAGCTGAGCTGCTTGGCCAGGGCTTCTCTTTCCCTATATTGATTATGAAGGTTCTCTTTATAGATCATAGTGATGCTGAAAGTAAAACCCCTGTGGAGACACTGGAAGTCGGCGTACATGTTTGTACTGGTGTATCCTGTGGAGCCATCTTTCACATGCTTTTCCCTCTTCTTTTCTTCAGAGACTATGGAGAAGAAGTTAGTGGAAGAAACGAAACAACTGGAACTCGATCTTAATGATGAAAGGCTGAGATATCAGAACCTTCTGAATGAGTTCAGTCGCTTAGAAGAACGATACGATGACCTCAAGGAAGAGATGACTCTGATGTTGGTGGGTCAAATACTTTTGCTTTTTACTAATGAAAAATTTCAAACATACATAAGCAGATAGAATAGAATGAACTCCCTTATATTCCTTACACTAATGGATTGGATTGCTTTAAAGCAAACCTCAGAAATCACATAACTTTATAAAGTCAAGCACTTTATAAAAAACAACAACTGGACTATAAGACAGTATAAAGTCTATATAGCTGAACTTTGTTTTAGGTATTGAATGACTTAGTGTAAAATTTGCATATAAAGCAAATATTTATATAATTGAGTATTTTCCTCTACTGGTTTTTATTATTATTTCAAAGATATATTTCTACAAAAAAAATTCAGCCTGTATTTGTAATAAATTATCTATTTCAAGGACTCTTCTGCAGCTGCCAATGAACCTTTTAATAGTTCTCCCTGTTCTACTAAACCTGCTATAAGGAAACAAATCCCTAGCTCTCTTGTTCCCTAAAAGTATCATACTTTAAGGTAACCTCCTGGTACAAATGGCCAGAAATGTTCTGAAATACCTTATAAAAAACAGATAATTTGATATCTGTGGGATTCAGTACTTGCTTCAAATTTTGCTTCAATCTGGATCCTTTGAAAAAGTTCTTTAAAATGTGACATTTAAAAAGTAAAAAGAAAAAGATTATGTAACAAAAGAAATGAAATAAATTTACCGCCTTGCAAATGAGAAAGCCTAGTCTCAAAGAGGTTAAAAAGCTAATTTAAATTCTACTGTTGGACCATTATTTCAAACCTCACTACTCTACTCTGTGATTTGCATGTGACAAAGAGAAATTAGACGTAGGAGTAGGTCACCATTATCCTTGCAATGGGCAGATTGGAAGGACCTCATTAAGTCTTGTCTTCTTTGATCTCCCTGCTGCACTTGGCCCTGGAGAACCCTTTTTCATTCACGTTCTCTCATTCTCAGTTTTCTCTAGAGTCCTTTCCCTCTGTGTTTCAACAGCATGTTCCCCAGAGTTCCATTCTTGAGTATATTTTTATTCTATTTACTATTTACTAATCTACGCTTCAGTTATGGCTAGAGCTAAGCTTTGTATCCCACTGGTTGTTTCAGAGGCCACTAGTTACTTGGGACGTTAAGAAGTAGCACTAGAAAAAGATGATGAGATTAAATAAATGTGGAGATCAACCCTTTTGTGAGGGTTTGGTCAAGACAACATGGAGTAGATCATTTGGCCATGAGAACAGCAAGTCATTGAGTGGAGATTAAAACCAGGTTAAGGTGGATGCTGTCTTAACTATACCAGGTTTAATTTTTTTGGGTTGATTATGCCCTGTTTGCCTTGCAGAATGTGCCAAAGCCTGGACACAAGAGAACAGACTCCACTCATAGCAGCAATGAGTCTGAATACACCTTTAGCTCTGAAATTGCAGAAACTGAAGACATTACATTGAGGACAGAGGTACATTTTATTTTATTTCTTTTTTTATTGACTTTAGAGAGAGGAAGGGAGGGGGAGAGAGAGAGAAACATCCATGTGAGAGAGTAACATTGATCGGCTGCCTCCTGTACACACCCTGACTGGGGATCGGCCCACAACCTGAGCCACACTGCTCAGGGCTGCCCTTGAATATTATGAATACTAATGCCCAAGAGTTTAGTAAGACTGCTGCCTCTGGTGACAGTTTTTACCAATGTAATTTTCTTCCACAAAAATGCATGAAAATAGCTTATAAATCTGCCTTAGTGTTTTATGTTATGTGGTATGAAACCCAAATGACATATTACTGTAACTCCACGAGTACAGTGACTTTAAGTTAGATTGTTCCCAAAACAATTCTCAGATCTTTTCAAATACAGTATTAGTTTCAGTAATGGGTAACTCAAGCACAACTCTTCTATTTTTATATGATATTCTGAGAAAATGGCCAAGTCAGATATAGACCTCTTCTGGCACAATAGCTGAAAAAAATGAAATGATTCTTTCCTTTCTTGTCTTAGTTTTACTTAGGAATGAAAGGTTCCTGCCTTCTCATTCTGTTCACTTAAAGAAAAATGTTACATAATAGGGATGTCATATAGTTAGAGTCATACACACAAGAAGGCTAAGTTACTTGTCCAAGATCATAGCTTGTTAAGTGACAGAGCCAGTATTCTGCCTGGTGCTTGTCTGTTTGGATCTCTGTACTCCGACACCTCTCACCCAGGTATTCTACACTGCAGCTCTGCAGGCCCATTTTCGTCTATAGCTGACATGGGGCTGGGGACCCTCGATACAGCAGTATGGCCAGTATATAGCAGGACAGAAGTTGTTCCAGGTGTCACCAAACCATCCCAAACTTTAATGATTTCAAACAATACCAATTTATTATTGCTCACAATTCTTTGGGTTTTGACTGGGCAGTTCTTCAGCCCCATGTGGTATTGGTTGGAGTGCCTCCCTGCATTCATCTGGGGTGCCCAGGTTCTCTTCCTGGGGCCTCTCCATGTGGCTTCTCTCTCCAGCAGCATGGTGAACGGGCTCTAGGAGTGCAAGAGCAAAAGATGCCAGGTCCAGAACTGTCACAGTGTCAATTCTGCCACATTCTATGGTCAAAGCAAATTACAAGGCTAGCCCAGATCCGTGGGGAGAGGAATAGACTCCATCTCTTGATGGATGGAGAGGCATCTGTGTTGGGAGAAATCCTTGGTGGGTGTCTTTGGGCACTCTCAGAAAGTTAGACTTTGAAGATTTCAAAATTACAACTTCTGAGCCTCCAGTGGATGTGAAGGTTTAGGATTGCATCCTGTTGGTCTCAGTGGGAGTACTCCTCCCAGTGGTCTGAGGGAAGTGTGTTAACAAACTGCCAGCTTCATTGAAATATCACTGAGCAGCTCCTGCATGGGAGGGGCAGCATGGCAGAAAGGGTGTGTTTGCTGCCAATTAATTTGTCTTAAACTCAGGACAAAGCGGCCTTTTCTTCCTAGTTTTGATAGAGGGTGTTACATTTTTAAACTGAAAAACTCTTCTATGCTTAACCTCATTTTTATTAATACTGGTATTTGTCAGGGTCTCTACTGTTTAAGTTTTCTCCAAATTCTTACAGATTTGAGGGGAGAAGCAATCTTTTTATTTCTAATTCTCACCTGTTTTCTGTTCTCAAGTTAAGAGATAGGTTAGAATGGGATTCAGTACATTTCTCATATCTTTTGAATAATGAAATATGACCTGTGCTCCAGAAACCACAGACAGATCTTGGAGTGTTGCGTACTGTCCTTCACATGCTCTGACCACCAGCAGTAGGTCATGCACCCGGAAGTCTTCTCTCAGTGACGGGGAAGGCTTTTCACTGAACTGGTGATGCTTGTTCCTTGTGACTAAGTGCATGATCTGAAGTGCGGCTGGCTTTGGTTAGGAGTGCTGTGTGTACCATGGGACAGACTACAGTAACTGTCCTCTCTGGACTGAGTCCGTAATCTTAGCCTCAATCTCTGTGGGTCTCAGTTTCTTTATCCATGAAATGGTGATATTGTTATTATCTTACTTTAGAGTGATGTTTTGAAGATTAAATGAATTAATTCATGTACAGTTGCAACAGTGTTTGATATATAGTATGTCTTTAATAAATGTTCTTGCTCTAATCAGGCTTCTGGTAACCATCCTACAGTAATGACTGGGTGTGGTCAGGATCAGAAAAATAGAAACCTATACAACTGTTAATAAAAAAAGAGAGATTGGCCCAGGCCAGGTGACTGAGTTGGTTGGAGTGTCGTTCCACACACCAAAAGGTTGCAGGTTCGATTCCCTGTTGGGGCACATACCTAGGTTGTGGGTTTAATCCCCAGTCAGGGTGACTGATCAGTGTTTCTCACATCCATGTTTCTCTCTCTCTCTCTCTGCTTTCCTCTCTCTCAAATCAATGAAAACATATCCTCAAGTGACAAGTAAAAAAGAAAAAGAGCGGCAGCCCAGGCAGCATTGCTCAGTGGTTGAGCGCCGACCCATGAATCAGAAGATCACAGTTCGATTCCGGTCAGGGCACGTGCCCAGGTTGCGGGCTCAATCCCCAGTAGGGGGTGTGCAAGAGGCAGCTGATCAACGACTCTCACCATTGATATTTCTATCTCTCCCTCTCCCTCTCTCTGAAGTCAATAAAAACATATTTTTAAAAAAAGAGAGATTGAAGAAGGAAAGTTGGACAGGAGAAAAGTATCAGACTATGACTGTGCATTTGTACTTCTAATTACTTGTGACTTCCAGATTTGCATTTCTTCTTGCAGCTATCTCTGTAAGGACCAGGTCTGCAAATTAACCCTAACAAACGAAATGAAAACTTTCAGCTCCTATGGGTAATATTCCCACGTACCTCTTTTAGAACCTGGTGCCAGGAAAATAATGCCCCTACTCTTGTTTATGCATTGATTTCTTATTTTTAATTAAAATAGGTAGAGCTCTCTCAGACTGTTTTGGAACATAGAATGCCAACCTCAGTCATGTAATAACAGCAAAATTTGAGGTAAAAAAAGAATCAATGTTTTTTTAGCTTTGCCAGATCTGTGAGTTGTGGTTCACAAGTCACAGTGGCACCTCCATGGCTGTTTCTCTCCCGAGACTCACCTGCCACTCCGCGTACTTTGCAGCCCTGCCCACTTCCAGCATCTTCATGGTCTGGGATTACATTCTTTTGCAACCATTGCTTCTCTCTGCTCTGTCATACACCTTTCTTGGTAGCCATTGACTAATTATTCCAGTTCTGCTTCTGCTCTCAAGCTTCCTCCCAGCTGTCAAACCCAGGGAAAGGGTCACCATAACTTTCTCAGCTATGGTTAGCAATAATTCCAGAATGACTCCCAGGCCTGTAGTGGTAATTTTGTGAATAAATTCTCTTATCTTCCTATTCTCCTCAGGTGAGAGACTGTCATTTTTTAGGTCAGTTTCAAAGTTTCACTCTTTTGGAAAAGTCCCAGATGACAAAGTCCTTACTAAGGAAGGAAAGCAGCACAAACCCCAGAAACTCCTTGGAGCCAGAGAGCCCTGTCTTCCTCCTTGCCCGTGTGGTGGAGAAGACAGATGGTACCTCTTCAGTTAGATGGGTCATTAGGGAGAAGGGTGGGCACCACCCAGAGCAGTTAAACATTACCATCCTTTACCTCTCAAGCAATTTTGTACTTGTTAAATGTTACTTTTTGTGTTCCTCCATCTTCTGTTCTAATGTTCTCATCTATAGAATTTTGCTGTTATCTAGCAATCAACTAATTCTTTATGTAGTATTAACTGATATTTAAAGAGTTACCCCATCTGATTTCTTTTTTTAATCCTCACCTGAGGATATTTTTTCCATTGCTTTTTAGAGAGAGTGGAAGGGAGGGAGAGAAAGGGAAACATCAATGTGAGAGAGACACATTGATTGGTTGCCTCCCACTTACTCCCACTGGGCAGGGATTGAGCCTGCAACTGAGGTATGTGCCCTTGGCTGGAATCGAACCCGGGACCCTGCAGGCTGCAGGCCGACGCTCTAACCACTGAACAAAACCAGCCAGGGTAGATTTTAATGAAATAATTTCTTTTAAATAAAAATGGCCATTCAAGTCTGAGAGGGATGATTCCTAAATGACAACATTTTAGGTACAATGAATGAAATAGTATATTCATTCGTAGGATGAAGGCTTCTATTAAAGTGTAAAAAAAGATTAAATAAAAATTTTCATGGACACACGTCATTAATAAACATTAAAAATATATAAGATGAAATATTTACATTGTAAATAAGTTAAAATATAAGTGTTTTTGAGGTGTATAGAAATGAGTTTTTATATGAATGAATTTTGTTTATATAAAATAGAATGAATTTGATTTCATGTTCGGGCAGGGGGCAGGATGCTCTCTCTGTTCCACTAAGTCAGGACAGACTTTGTGGTGAAGATCGTACACATTTTTTCTTACTGTTGAGTATTACAAAAGTGGATAGGGAGGAAAAGTCCGGGTCTCACTAGTTTGTAGGGAAATGACTTGACAGCCTATAAATGTCCCGCTTCTTAGTTGATTCTGCTTAGGTGTTTTCTTAGAACTGAAATAACACTGAATAGCACAACTAAGAATTCACAAATGACCAAAGATAGCTGATGAATTTAAAAATTATTCAACTGTATCAAAAGGCAAAGAAATGTAAATTAAAATAACAACAAAATACCACTTTTGCTTTATTGACTGAGCAAATATGTGTTTTTAAATCACAGTTGTTGCTGTTCTAGGCAAGGTGATGTTTACTGATGGAAGTGTAAACTGGCCCAACTAGTACAACAGACTTAGAAACATTGAAGTTTAGGTGGAAAAAATATAAAATAAAATAAAGGAAAAAATGTTAAAGTTTAGATATTTATGTACTAGAATATTTATTTTAGTATATTCAATAGCAAAAAATTAGGACCAACCTCAGTGCCTATCACTAAGGTAATAGCTAAGCAAATGATGGTACACATGTCAAAACAGCCTTTAAAAATTTCTGTTTCAAATATATTGTAAATTTGGAAAACAATTGTAATATGATGCTAAGCTTAAAAGACAGTATATATCTATAATGAAAATACTTCAGTTCTAGAAATCTGCAGACGGAAGACTAAACAAAAATTATGGGTTTTCTCTGGATATGAGGTTACACCTGCATTTTTCTTCTTTGCACTTTTCTTATTTCCTAAATTTTCTCTAAAAACTTAATTTGCTTTTATACCAGAATAAAGAACATTTGTTTTAAAAATTAACAATTGGAAATGTAAGATTAGCTAATCAGTTAAGAATTATACTTCAACCATTTAGTTAAATGTTATTACCATTCTCTCTGTCTCTCAAAAAAAAAAAAAAAGATTCCGTATTATTCCATTAAATCTAAGGATATAATTCCTTCTCCTCTTACCTCATTAAAAGTTCAAACCAAAAGTACACAAGGTAGAACAATCATGGCACTCTCAGGACTTCCATGATGGTGGTTAGTTCTTTCCGTTTGCTTGGCTTTAATTACTGTGTCTATTTATCCTAGTACTTCTCACTGTGATTCTGTTTTAGAACCAATTGCCATACTTTTAAAGTGCTACCAGGTTATTTTTCAGTTTATTAAGGGCTATATATATTTTCATTTTCTCTTCATCTGATCTCAATATATTTATGCTGACACTTCGCCTTTTCAATAATTATTTTTCCCGATTACAAAAGAATTCAAATAGAGATATATGAAGTAAAAAATAAAACATTCCCATAGTACCTCCCAATCTCCAAGGTATCCATTGATGGCCTTCTAGATTTTTGTATTCTGTGTGCTTGGTATGTTTAAAAGTCCACATATATTTGTGTGGTTTTTTAAAACAAAATATAAGATCATAATATAAATACTGTCCTGCAACTTGTGTATTTCACTTAATACTTTTATCTAGGACATATTTATCTCCTCATATAGATCTATTTCATTCTTTTTAACAGCTATAAAATATGTCATAATTTGGCTCTACCATAATTTATTTAAAACCACTCCTATTAACTAATATTTGGGTTCTTTCCATATTTTTTTGCAATTACAAAAAATGCTGCAATGAACATCTTTTTCCATATTTTTTTGTGTACTTGTGTAAGTATATCTGTAGGATTAATTCTTAAACGTAGATTGCTAGCTTAAACTTGATCTTTGAAAAGGCCTACTTTTACTTCCACCAGTATCATATAAAACACTGTTACTAACACATGGCATTATAAATCTTTTCAGTCTTTGCCAACCTGATAGGGAAAAAGTAGTACTTCACTGTTTAACTTGCATTTCTCCATTATTAGCTAGGTTGAACATATTACTTGTGTATTTTTAGCCCTTTATATTTCTCCTGTAAATTTGCCTATTTTTTCTGTTGGGCTGCTCACCATTTTCTCATTGGCTTATACATCTTCCGGATTGACTTGACCATCTTGTTTTTTCTGGGTTTTAGGAGCCAAGTGAGAAGAAGGTACCTCTGGACATGTCGTTGTTCCTCAAGCTCCAGAAGCGGGTCACAGAGCTGGAGCAGGAGAA